CGTTAGTTGCGCAACTTAGACCATATGTTCCTGGTGCAGAAGGCCCGGTGGGAGACGCCGTGTAACGAATTCGCTTCACGACAAATCACCCCACCGCTGACCTGCGAAAAACGGTAGAACTTCAGTTACCAAAGTGAAATATAGATAAACTTTATCATAAGGTTTCCCTGAAGGTAGAGCACGTGCTTCTTCCGACATCAGGGATACCATTCTTTACAAAATGTCCACAGGTCTCCCGAAACCTTTTGTTCTTTCATCTTAACGCCATGCAGTCGCTGAATATCTACACAATCGTTCACATCCTTTCCGTTCCTTCCTATAACTATAACGTGTGGTGCATTGCAGCAGACACCAAGGCCAAAGTGCATCATGGCTAGGAAAGACGCTAAACCAGCAGAAACACAAACGTCATTGACTTTGCAGGAAAGATATTCTGAGACACTGATCATTTTGCCGTCATCCAACACACTGGTGGTTACATACAAGTTGATAAATGTCAGTGGTTTAAATGTCATTTCATACGTCTGCGTACGACTGATCGAAAAACAAATTCAAAGAGCGATACGGTCAAGGAAATAGTGGCTCAGAGTTATCAAGTGTCTAACTACATTGTTTGCATTTGCTTTTTCTGACAACAGTTAAGTGAATCCGTGTGTGCCCTTGGCAACCTAATTTTCTATCTAATTATTCACCCAAATCATCAACCGGCAACTCTCATTACTGCGGAAAACAATGCTAGGGTTTAAATGCCAGTTTTTGAAACCATGTTGGGGTGGTGAAGTGGTGTATCCTGTTCAACACATAGAATGGCACTCATCAATTAATACTGTTCATATTATAAAGAGAATGTATCCGCCACTTTGTTGCTTGTCCCATCTTTCTGAATCCCTCAACCACCAGCCACGTCTGAGGGACTACATCATTCTGTGTTGTAGAGAGCCTACATGCTCACAATAAGACTCTCAAAACACACTTAAAAAAACTCGTTGTTGGAATTCACAAATATTTCCCCCTTCAAACAACCCCTACACTAAGACTGCCATTAATGAGGAGCTACAGTGATGCAGATATATCAGATGCCTGTTATGTATAGCACAGAACTATCTGGTTGCTACACACTAAGAAGACAAGCAGCACTATATAAAACCGACCGCAAACACTACTTCCTGATGTGCACCTTCCTTGAAGCAAGCAAATGGTATAAGTTTAACGCCTTCGTTGAATACATAATAGCACTATCTTTCCTTCCCATCCTTTCACAGGTGGTGACCACAACCTGAGAATACATTTCTTTCATGTGCCACTAATACATCTCAGCAGAAACACCATGATACTTCGAATAATAATAATGTACGCATTCTGAAACATGTCGAAAAGCAAAGAAACCAAGTTTTGCATCAGCAGGTCTACATAAACGCCTTTTCAGCTGGCTACATACAATGTTCCAGAATGCTGCTAAATTGTACAACGTGATAGTATTACCGTCACCGATTTGACATTCGATTTTTACCGTCCCCCCCCAACCAACTGGCATTTATTCTAATATGCCACCTTGAATATAGACATCATGAACTGTATTTTGCATAAGGAGAACGCCTAAATTTTTGTATGGCTTCAAGCAACTCTTCCAAAATAAAATATTTCTCTAATTTAGAAAGTTGGTCCAAGAACCCACTGAACTGTCTCGCGCTGTTATGTATAATAGTGTTTTAACAGTTCAAAACACTCCAGCAAGAGTTAAACACCGCATTTTGTTTAAGTGAATCATTGTTATGGTATGGAATGGCCATCTGATTTTTAGCTGACAAATGCGAACGCGTTTCGCTGAGTTTTACCTCGTTTGATAGAATTTATGTCCTGCTGATTACCAGGTGTTCCACAGTAGTGCCTGATTAACTGTGTATTTTGTACGTATTTTGTACGAGAGAAACGTCAGTGCTGCATGGCTGTCAGTCGGTGTAACCGAGGTGTTTTTCACTTTATTACTCTACAGTACCACACATCTCATCGAAGTAAATGGTACTCTGATACGGTTAAAGTGGAAGTTCCCTCCTTGTAAGACTTACGGAAGTTTCTTATGCAATAATGAACTGGTTGCTGCTGCTTCATAGATGAGACCAAATCAAGGCGAAACAGTGTTTAAAAGTATAAAACTGGTGAATTTCGACCAAATGTGACTGCCATTTGAAGAAATGGAGAAGTGGTAAAATGTCTTCAAATGGAGAGCTTCTGTTCAGCATGCACGAGGCATCCCTAATTAGACAGAAGATGAGCAGAAGTAGGCCAGTAACTGACACCTCTATCAAAATATCCGTCCTAAATACTGGCCAATTGTGCATATAAAATAAAAAACGACAGGTGGTGTTGAATGTATACTCGATGAGCACGCTAGTGGGCGAGTGATGTGGAAAGACCTAGTAAAACGCACTCATACCTCAGTGCCTTCAAAGGGCGAGGGGGAAATTTAGTCACTTACAGCGTCCCAGGTGTTTACATTATGTCATATGAGGAATAAAGACTCTACCTCTTCTTGAAAGCGAATCATCTAAGAATGTCTGTCTGATTAACCTTTATTTAGTAGTTGAATTTAGGGTGTATGTATCCATTGTGTTGTGTGACAAGCAAACTACTGAACAAAGAAAGATACCAAAAGAAAGCATTTTATGTATTCTTCCTGCCTTTTCTCTGCGATGGCCATCCTTTTCCTTCTGAAATTAGCGTTGTCAAAATCTTGATTTGTTTTCACTGTCTCCTCCAAGTTGATCATACAGCAATATGGTAGCGAACATCACCAGATCCATACCTCGTTCGGAGTCCGAAAGATTTAATCCTAAGCAGGAATCACAAGATACATTTTCAGAAATCACGATCTATCTACTGTGCGAAGTACCTCTGTTTCTTCCAGCCCTTAATGCCATCAGTTTCTCCTACTGCTCTTCCCCACATGCATTCAACAGTCCTAAAGAAAAAATCCAGAAACACCCCTGGGGTAATTCTTTGTCCTCTCATTCAATCGGCTTTCAGCACTGTTACACTGTCTAGGTTCGTTTGTTAAAAGCGATGTGCACTGTATAAGTAAGGTTCACCTGGCATGGGGAAATGAGGATTTTCTCCTCAAGTAGAGATAATCACTCCTTTTTATTTGGTCTTAGAATAAAAACGGTGGTCAAGAACTTCCTTCACATTCTTTCTTAATTACTTTTATAAAATGAATCTCTGTACCGTTTTTCTTAGGATTATTATTCTTATCTTCACTTCAGTAGTTTCCAGTATTGTTTCACCTTTTCTCTCCCCTTAATTACCCGGTTCACTGCTTTCGCATTATAAAACGCCCAGTCACACCAGAATTCACACTGTTCCAGCCAGTGCTTTACTTGACTCTTATCTCCCCAAACTCAAAGCCTAAAGACCAACAAACATCATCTTTTGGCACCCGTCTATTAATATGTATGAGACTGGATGTAGGAAAAACAAGTCTCAGATACCTGAGGCATCATCATCAGAAATGGATCTTGCACCCCGTAGGTCTCGAAACAAATGGTGCAGGTTGTGACGGCATGATTAACATCGACTCCATTTTGAGCATTTACTACTCAGAGGTACTTATCCATCAGCATGTTGATGGAACACACATTCGACTGAAAACGCTGTCCTTTTATCTAACACGCTCTGACCACTTGGTTTAAGAACAGTGAAATTGCTAAAAGCCGGCGACCTTAGTTCACTGGCGATGTACTTTTATTGGTTTTACCTTAACTAAAAACCCCATATATGCGTGTTTGCAATTACAGTTTCCCTGTTCTTGCATCATCCGTTTGCGTATATTTTGTGCCATGTTGGTTGACTTTGAAGTCATTCCTACTAATGTACGATTAATCCTATTCGGGCAACATGTCCTTAAAGATGATCTAAACTCCGTGACTTCGGGCATAAGATTATCTTCATCCTCTAGACATGCGACGAGAATAAAACCACCTCTCGCGAATAATGACCTCAATTCAACGAGTGAAAAATCTAAGTAAAGCACAATCTGCAAGAATCCAGTTTCATTTTTTGTCACTGTATGAGAGGACGCATGATAGGATGGCATGAGTTGCATGGTTCTTTCCACCCGAACCAACAACTAGCACACACTTATATTACTTTTATTTCCACCTAAATGTCAAACAGGTCGGGTGTCTGAATGCTTCCTTCTTCTAAATAGATGTGAGTTAGTCACTGGTGGGATCAGCTTCAGACCAACAAAACGGTAGCGCGTCGTTTAGACAGCCCAGAAGTGCTAAATAATTACTTCTTGGGGCTAGAGCTGTCTAGAATCACAAATCAGTGAATATTACTGGCCAACCTGAGGATACTACACCATTTCAGATTAGAATAAAACGTAATAGGAATGTAAGCATAATGTTTTTGAAATCTAAACAGTGGAATCAGAAGGAAGTATTCTCTACCTTATTCAAATTGTTATTTTACATACTAGTAGAGGAGTGATGAGTTGCGAAATAATTTCAAATGATTAGTGTGATATTTAGGCTAGTGCATTCCTCTGGAATTCGTACCATGTCACGTAGGTTTTTCAGTTCTTTGTTAAGATATTTACGTATGATGATTGGCAGCAGCCCACTAGGTAACTCTGGAAGTCTTTTACCTCTGCCTTTTCCGCGTAATACATACTATGGTAAATACCAATTGAAAAAGCTGAGCCAGTTCACTCTTAAATGACACATATACGCAGTATCCATTCAGTGATTTTGAACAAAATCCGGATTTCTTGGACCCTCAAATTGATAGAAATATTCCTAACTTCTGGTGGAATAATACGTGGTCAGTCTTGCTACTCGCCTTTCTGAAGTGGCAGGGTTTTCTCAGACTACCTTCACTTTGACTCAAAACCATGATTCACACTAAAATAGTTTTCACTGAGACACTTCTCTCATAGCTCATATATACACTTAACAATCTTCAATCCTCAAACTACGGTACATTTCTTTAATTGCATCAATGACTTTGTTACAAATCGAGCAAGTATTCAAATCTATTTTGTGTTTCAGCTGATAATGACGACGGTGAGTTCGGAGGACATGATTGTTTATATATTTGCCATAATATTAGAGAAGAAGTAATGAGATATTATTTCAGCCATACTGTGTATGAACTTATCCTTCAGCACAGATCTGTTACTATTATTATTATGTTTACATGCAACTTTTCTAATAAATCACTGAGTTATTTAAATTTTCTACACTTAACTAGAAACAATGTCACTCGAAATCTGTTGTCTGATTCTCACATGAATGTGCGTGACAGTCTACTCGAAAAGCGGTTCACTTTAAAGGCTTTCTTATGCCAGAGTCCTCGCCTACATTCTAACCTCTCGATTGCGACTTGGAGTTTGGAAATAATTGTATTCAGATTGAAAAGAAGATAACATTGGGAGTGGTATAAGAACTACATCGAGCACTGTTTATGATGTTACTTAAGTAATAATCATATCAAATTTTTCTGGAGTTTTTCAAGAACTGATACATAGTAAGGATACATAAATCTGCAGTCTTATTGGCAGTGTTCAGTCTCTTTTACTATTAAAAAATATTCAAGTTTTGTAGCCTAGCCCTCGCTGAATCTTTTAAGTGTTACTTGCCTTCGAGAAGCTGTTGGTAAATATCACAGACTGCTTATTCCTTTGAATCTCTTGTAATAGCGTATTCTCTCCATCATATAAATTTTGATCCTCAATAATTTACCTAGATTCTACCCCTTAGGTTGGCAAATAAGTGCCTTTCTATCGGCTTTCAATCCCACGGGGATTAATTCCGATTTGCCGAAGATAATGTATTCGCTGTCGTTGGATGCTTACAGCAAATCGCTGTTCTGAAAGTCCTCTTTGTAAGTATCTTATTTGTTTACAGAGTGATTGCTTTATGAAAGGACTGTGAGTGCAAATATTCATTTGCTCAAAACATATGTCATCCTGAAAATTCCGAGATTACAGCTCTCATGTGTTGAGATATTACGATATTCTTAGTTTCCCACTAAGTTCTGTTCCTTGTTCGGTGTATAAATTACACTAAAGACACTAAATTTTAAGTCTGTTGCCCGCGAAGCTGAATGTTTATTGATTTAGTAGGATCATGGCTAATTCGTGATTTCAGCTGCTTTTAATCTTTCTTCCTCAGTTTGATAAACATGTAAAACAAACAATCAAAGATTGATGAGAATGCTCAAAGTTTATTGACCGTTGAAGTCACAAGTATATAATTTCAGTACAATAATTTATATTCTCTTAGGCAGCTTTTGTTATAGGTACATTTCCAATCTTAGGAAAAATAGTTTCTGTGAAAATGTAAACTAAAACAGCTTGCAGATTCTCGATTTACCCAGCTAACTGAATGCTACTGTTTAATTTGGAATACTTTTACCTACTTTTGGTCCATTTTACCTTACTAAAATGTGAAATGTGACGAATTCCTGGGGCCAAATATATTCAAGCGTAAACTAATGAATTGAATTTTCCAACAATGGTTGATATCACTACATACGGTTCTGCGTAAGTGGTTATTGCGTCTCAATTAGGAATATCAATCAACCAGACTGAAAGAAAACGTGGAATGAAGATGCCACATGAGTTCTAAATAAGAAGTCCAAAACTTTTAGTTTTATACACCAGTGTCTCAAAGTTACTACTTTAACTGACTATGTCTTGATAGCTCATAAATCAGAGTAGCTATAATTGTGGTCAACTGACTTAAGAGGTGTAGTTTCTTCCTATTTTGTGATAAACCAAACATTCAGAGGAAAGGTCATCTAGAAGTATGCACTTGAATTGAAAATGCTGTACTTATTGTTGCTAAATTCAACAAGTTTAGGGAACAGAAAGTTGCAGAATTATTTCAAAAGTAATTGGATTCCACTGCTAGCCACCATCCACCAATTAGAATGACTTTAAATTTACATTTTTAGCTACCACTCAAGCTTAAGAAACTTCTCTTGGTTTTTAAAATGCAGCTAATTTTCACTGGTGGCCTTTAGGGTCTTCAGACGATTTAATGGTTTAGTTATCAATAATTTTGTTAAATTTCATTTACTGAGCTTATAAACCACAGTTTAGCTGCTGAAAACAAAGGCAAGCAATAAAAGCAAGCGGAATATCAAGATGCTTGCATCCGAGCTTATAGAAGCCAGTAAACTTCTCTGTAGGCGTTGCATACCTTAGGAATTTTACCTCATCATGAAACTAGAAGGCTGCTTGCAAACTCAAAGTGAAAGTCTGTCAATCTCATTTTACTGGCTTCAAAACAGTTATACGCATAGAAATACATATGACCACAGTTCCTAAAAGAAGTACTCCTTAAACCATGCATAAATTGCACTCAGATCCAACTGCTTACACATTTTTGTTTAATGCCATACCTAAATAATAAAGAGTGTTTGAATTTCTTTCCACGAAAGCATTAAGTGTTGCATGATATAAGAAGAAACTATGACATAAATTCATAGTGGGTGTCATTAGTTATAAACGTAGTAAATTGTGAGAATGTCTAAAATTTTGAATTTGGTGTCCATTTTACCTTTCTGCCTTGTTATATCGACTTCGGGATAATTCTGACAAAACTACATCTTCGTCTGTTGAGATTCAGTGGAAGCTTCGAAATTCGCAAACCCAAATTGTTTTGAATATTTTAGTTTTATGTTATAACAACCTCATTCTCTAATCCTGATACAAAAATAACAAGGTGTTTGTTCTTGTGGAACTGATAACACCACAATCCACAGTGGCTTAGCATGTCAGGTTAGTGCCGTGGTCAACCTTAAAATATTGAAGTAGATACTGGCACTGTGTAGTGTTTCTTAAATCACGAATAAATGCATCCAGCATTTTATGAGTCCTGAAAAGAATATTTCACTGTTTGTGTTTCTAAATTATGTCTATAAAACACCTAGTAACTAAATTATTCTTGTGCTTAAATGCATCTCAGGCAGAATTTATTTGCTAACCATATTACTTTGAGAGGATAAAGTGTTTCCGCTGTTACTAAGAAAACTTCAGTCTGTCTCACACTACTGTACAATACTATTACATTAAAGTACCGATTATTGTATATCACAGCCAAATGGACGCCAAAATTTACTGCCACTAACTCAAGAAAGTTCACTAGTGACTTAGAAGTTTTGACCTGAAATGAGGTTGAGTCTGCAGCTTCAATATAACATATCTTTAAAATAACTAACTGTATACTGCACTTTACCACAAACTTGTACGTTAAAAGTAGCAGCTATTACTGCAATAGTACTTTATCTTTAAATGTCTCTATTTCTTCACACTACTAATCTACTATTCATAGATTAAATTACTACTGCTAGCAAAATTTTCTTTTTATATATCTTTTGTCGTGTTCTCCCTTGATATTACTCTGACTGTCATCAACAGGTGATATATACTGAAATGTTTTAATAATGAGCTAAAAGACTGTTGAAAGCCAGTTTTTCTTAACATTTCACATTCTAAACATTATCTGTATGTATGTCAAACAATTGGTAAAGTACTTGTAAAAGTGATTTAGGCTTGCACTGTATCCTAAGTCTATACTTTTAGTCAAAAGACGTTAATTACCATTAGCATCCAAATAATTACCCTTTTTTAAAGCTTTTGGAGACAATTTGAACAAATAATGGACAAAAATTACTAAACGCAACGTAACAGTTTTTTTTAAATTCTTCGGAATCGTTTGAAAATTAATCACAGATAGACCTTAGAGTAAAGTCATGGTAACTGATTATCGCTCTATTTTCAGTACCCAAGATGAATGTAAAAGTCTATCACTCCTGCTCTGTTTATGATGTGACTGAGAGGTTTTTTAGTCTAAAATAAGAAATTGAAAACTCTCGATTTGGTATCCTGAATAAAATGCTGTTTTATCAAAATTTAGAACAAAAAATAAGTTTAAATAATGAAAATACCATGATAAAATTTATTCCTTACCAAAGTTATTCAACCTTTAGTTTACAGTTAATCTAATTTACTTTAGATAATCATAATTATTTTGTGTATACAATCAATATAAAACCCTTTCCGTATGGTTTCGTAACTCATTTACTGTTTATATGCAAGAGATTTTAACTGTCAATTCACTGTGTTTACATAAAAGTAAGGCAATAACAGGCAGACATTTACTTTATAAAATAGTCATATGACTTATCCTATCAACAAGAAGACCTCTGTACTGTAAATAAGATTCCATCTAGAGTAATCCTTTCCATGACAGGCTGATGTTTAAATTACCACTCTCTCTCTCTCTCCATTTATCTATGTATATATACATATACATATATACATATTTGGTAGACTTGTTTAATTTTAGGCATCAGCGAGATGTGTCATTCAAAGATCACATGCCTACCTGTATATATCTGTGTCACCATCTAACGATAAGCACTTTCTGAAGTACTTGCTCTTCATGATTTTATCATAGAAATTGTTGTTTATGGTAATTCACAGAAATAGGAAAAGGAAGGGAATAACTAGCATGTTGGAAATAAATCTAAAAGTCACTATGACAGGACAGATACATTGTATTAAAAGTATTTACCACCTTATCTTTACTACCAGTCTTCAAACCTCTATGAAATAATAACAGATTTTTCTATTGGTCTCAAAGGAACCTCATTTTGAAGTATAAATAAATTATTCATTGTATGTCAAAATGGTGAGTGAATCCACTAGAGATTTAGCTACATCTTTTGATCTTTTTTTCTATTTTATTTCCTTTCAACATCATTTTGTCCGCCATTTTCACTTCTTTCCTTTCTTTTTAAATTTCCAACACATGGTTTTTTTTTGTTATAACATGAAAAATACTTGTAAAAATAGTAAACTGGATGAAAAATTGAAACAGCTGAAAAGATGTTTCATTTGTTTTATTGCTCAACAACTTTTCGTTATTTTTTTGTTAATAACCACTTTCAAAAGAAAACAGCATAATCAATGAATGAATAAGTTTGTTTGAAATTAAATATCTTAGAACATTTTTCACAATAATAAAATGAAAGTTTACTTCAAATCAACCATGTATATATTATTTAAGGCAAAATAAAAGTATTGAAATATTGGATGTGAATGAAATAGATAGGCTTCACGGTGGATTTCGTTATCAAGGCAAAATTGGTTAGAAAATCGTTTGCTATTTCAGATACATTGAAGAATAGTCTGTTCTACTTTAATATTATTATTTCCTTGGGTTCCGAATGGACTGATTAACTGAGTTCAACATAGTACTTTGAACCGATGTGCAGTAGTTCGAGTCGCCACACTTCATATAGCATACAAAGTAAGAGAAAGTGAAAAGAAATGCAAAACAAAGACAATAAACAGATATATAAAGCAAAAAGAAAGGTAATATCGAAGAACAATGTGGTTTCATTGGAAAGTATAAGGCACAAGGAGTGGACTCATCTGCGTCATGGAGAACGATTTTGAGCTATATCACCGATTGTCTGCAGCAATTCGATTTTACCGTCCCGAGGACCACCACCAGGAAGTCTGCACCTTCCTACGTGACTGGCTTAAACTAGCTGTTGTGGATTTGATTGACTCATGAAGCCATATTTGGTTTGACCGCCTCTAGCTCTTTCCCAGCCTGACCCTATGTCAGCTAACGTTGCCCAGTGTAGAGGAAGGCGATGGCTAGATATGCGTAACACATGTCTTAACCATCTTAATCGATGTAACTTCACAGTCTGATCTATTGATTTCCCCTTCAACTCACCTAGCACTCGACGCCTAACCTAAATATTGCTCACCTTATTATACCACTTCACACGGGAGGTAGAAAGCAAGCACCTATGATCAAAGGCAGCTAGTCGGCCTTCTCATGACTTCCATTTTCAAGGCAGCTATTGATGAAGGTCTACATCTGGTTGTTGGGAAAACTGACTGCCCTACCTACTTTTAGGCCATTATTGAGTACATACCATCTTCTCAGCTGTCTACTTTCTATCAGTTTTCAAAGTTCTCTCATACATACATACTGTGACGTGAGAAAATCTAACTTAAAAATTCAATCTTTTGACATTTTTGTTATCTACTTACCTAAATCTTGTTTATGATTGTCAACAATTGACGTATGAACCTAACTGGAATGCAAATTAACTGTGACATCTTTTACAGATTACTATTTTCTGCACAATTACCTCACTCAAAATGCTTGTGTTGTTACAAAATAAATTTCTTTACTTTTAATCATTATTAATCATTTACTTTATTATCTTTTAGATACAACAAGAAGTTGTTAACACTGAAACCTGTGGAAAGCTTAATGTATTCATTCAAGTAGGTAGTTCTCATTTTAGTGAATGAATGACTACAAATCATTTTTCTTTCTCAGGGTCCAAGAAATGCTAATGTTGCCTTCTTGACAGTTCATGATCTTGGTTGTAATCGTAGGTTAATAGTCAAAGTTTTATTTATTTATTTTTACTTAACTAGACAATGAGATGGTTAATTTTCTTGCTCATGAATCTATGGAACCATTAGCTAATCGATGTACTTGGGTACATGTTGATGTTCCAGGACAAGGTGATGGAGAATCTGATTTACCACCTGAGTAAGTCAGTATTGCCAGTGTGTATGTGCGTGTACATGTGTGTGTGTGTGTTTTTAATCCTCAAACGATTACTGATACTGAGATTCTTTTATACATTTATATATACACTGAGTAATTAACATTTAATTTTTCTTGTCAGTTAGCATTGGTAAAGCTAAACCTTCAGTGTTTAGAATAATTTAGATTCAGATACACATAAATAATTGTAGGTTTCAGAAAACTTAAACAACTCATTGCTTACTTAAATACATATTAAAAAGTGACTGTGTATTATTATTATTATTTCTTTTACAACTCACTTATACCCAAGATGAATTTCTCATATATCAGGCTATGATCTGATAATACCGTACCTAGTTGTCCACGCTAAAGTAAGTGGGATGGTATTTGAACCCAGAAGGGATCCTTTGGTTGAAAATTCAATGCTTGGACCAATGAGATATATGTTTACAGATAATCCAATACTTAATACTCAATACTATTGAAACACTTTTAGCAGAGACACATTGCATAAAAAAGTACAGCAGTTCAAGTCTTCACACTCTGTCTAGCCCACAAGGTAAAGAAAAAAAGAATTGAAAAGAAGTACAATCGACAGAAACATACTTGAGAAAGAGTATTAATATTGAAAAATACAATGACTTAATGGATCTGAGAGATCCGACAAGAGTGAATGTATTTGCTACAGTGTCAATGGTTTTTTAAACCATATCACCGACAAACTACAGATATTGAAGCTTAGCATCTGGAGGAACCTAATCAGGCAGTCTACGCTGCTTCAAATGACTCAAAACAATTGTCAAAATATTCATAGATGAATGCCAGGTTTTGATGTGATCATATGTAATTCTTTTCTAACCTAATCCTATATATCAGCAGGGATTGCTCATTGAGTACAACATGTGTCTTAATCATCTCAATCGATTCAGCTTCATAACCTCGTTGATCGACTTCCCTTCCCTACTTAGCACTTAAAGCTCAAACTCAATAATGGAAAACGAAACAGATTAATAGACTGTAATGAAAAAGAATTAAAACTAAATTATTTACGTTGTTTTACTTTAAGTAGTATTGTTGTTGCACAGTAAAGTTTCATGCAACGCTGCTTGTTAGTGATACATTTGATTCGAGCTTTTTCCGTAATTGAGAGAGCAATCAAAATGCTGAGAACATTACAACTTAAATATTCAGAGTGAATTTTCTCCCCTAAATTATTATCTCCAGAGGACAATTTTTTAAGTGCTACTCTTGACTTTATTTATGCTTCCGTTCACAAGTGGTCCACTATTCTTAAGTTCAACTACTACGTGCGCATGAAAACTTGGTAGAAAGTTAGAAAGCACACTACTACCATATAGTTTTGATATGATTATCAGCCTTAAAGTGTGCTGGAAACATCATCAGTAAATAATGATACTGTAACACTGTGTGCTTTCTACAAATTTAATTATCCTAGGGTTGAATAATTTTGCATATTTATTTTTATGTGTTCTGAAACGATAAGTAAAATTATGGGAATATTATTCCATCTTATACTTGTACTCCAATAACGTTTCTGATACAATTTTTATTAGCCTTTAACTGACTATTGAATTATAACATTCACATTTTTATCACTAAACAGCCTGAAGAAGTTATTGAAAACAACTGTTCGCTGTAAAGTTGTTCTTGTTCTGTTACCATAGACACTAAAGATGTTTTTAATGCTACTACTGATGTATATAACATCGGTTGTTCAACTGTAGGATGCTCGCCAACCACGTATGTGGCTAGGAGGACCCATCATTGGTCGGTGTATTCCTAAATCTTGCTAAGCTAATGAAGAGGGGAGGCTGGACTTGAGTATGACAACCCCGTCTTGCAAAAATAAAACAACTGCTATCGAAAAATTGGTAGGAGAATTCCATCATGAGCTGACATTAGTTAGAGAACCACTGGAAAACTGCCACTGGAGCACTGGACAGTTGTTTCGTCCTAGTGTGTGACTGTTCATCAGTACGCACCCACCGCCAGAGTTCGAACCCACGACTTTCTGGTTACAAGGCAATCTCCTAGACAGTTAAGCCACTCGATCCAAAGGGTGTTGATGAGTCCCAAACTATGACGAAACAGCTGTCCAGTACTTCTTGATCGTTTTCAAATGGTTCTTTAACTGATATCAGCTCATGATGAATCCTCCAACCAATCAAACAAAATCCATGCAAAAACCAATACTTGAAAAAATGCTACAGAAAACCTTGAAAGCTGTAGCTTGAAGCCATATGTTCTATTTGGAACGTAAAGGATTAGAATAAAAGATAACTGATGTATGCAGAGTAAAGTTTATCAGTGGTTTCTAAAATTTCTGAATAATCAACTCAAATGTGTATGATTTTTTAATTGACGAATAAGTTTTTATTCGACTGGAAACCTGGTTTTCATTGCTTATAATCAATTTTTGCTTCTTATATCACAGAAAATCATATGTAGTGAAATCAAATACTGTCTCTATTTCTTTGAACACTTATAAGACATGGTCATTAGAAATAGAAAGTCTGAAAGAGACAAGCCCCACTATCAAATGATGTGGCCCTAAAGGAGAAATATAAAGCATGAACACACTTGTCAGAAAAAGCTGTTTAATACGTATATTCACAGTGAATGAAGCTAGAAGTCAGAAGTGACTAAAACATATATTCTGTGTGTCATTCAACTAACATTTTAAACGTCAATCGTTAAATGAACTGGAAAGTATTTAAGAGGAGACTAGGCAGTGGTTAGACAAACAATACATGGGAATAAGCTCATTTATTTCTGACTGTTAGACTTACGCATGTCTGTTGTCAGTCGTTGGGGAATCTTTATCCTTGAATATACAGAACAGTAATTCTGCAAGACTAGTTATTACTGTATCATGAATCGAAATATCAAAAGCTTAGCATTGTTTGCTTGAGTTCACTCAACTTTATCTGCATGATTCTTCATGCTAAATTATATCATAATTCTGTCGTCTCAACTTTCAAACATCACAGTGAAATATAAATTTTTCGTGGTGGTCAATTGAAACTAAATTTATCCATAAGTTAAAAATAAGCACCCTAATAAATAGTTGCTTTATCAGTCAGATAGAAATTGGCTACAGCTATTCGCTAAGGACTGACAAGGTTGCCTGACTATCAAACCTGATTACCCGTTGATGTTTGGTGCGTACTACTGACAAAAATGTGTGAGTGGTTCGTTGGCGACGTCTTAATGAGTAGCAGCACGACAGATGAAGTGGTAAAGATGATAAATAAAGAACATTGTGTAACAATGCTCAAAGCCTGAAATGAAAACAAAACCAGTGACACTTGCAAATTGAAGTTTTAATGAGTAGTTTTCATATTTTGCTATGAGAAGTCGGAGTGGTCAATGGTCTAAGGCGCCAGACTCAAACTCTGGTTCACATGCTGGTGTGAATTCTTATCCCACCTCCAACTCATGCCTGCATCTGTGTTTCAGAGGTAGAATGCTTGGCAACTACCCATGTAGTCCAGAGTTCGATCCCGCCTGACGCACTTCTAAAACTCCCTAAGACAGTAGTAAGCCTGGTAAAGACCTGAGGCTGATAGTGAGATTAATCGAATAATTTTGTTGGAATAGTCAACCAGGTATTCTCGTGCAGCGCGTCTGTCTGCAACTAGGCGTCCCTATTTCAATCTAAACGTCATTGCAGAATATAAAAGCGGTGACATCATGACAGATCTACTGTTACAGGTAGAAAGGCATTTTGAATACGTGCGTTACCCGTGGGAGTTTGAGTGTCTAGACGCCAGTGAACCTCAGTTCCAATTTATTAGGCTGTAATTTTGGCCTTTCCATTCTTTGTTAAACTATCATCTCAACTTTTTTTGTTTTGACTCAAGTTCTTATCGCATAAATTTTTCATTAGCCTGTTCACCTGTATTAATAAATCTAATTCATATATTTTTGTCTTTTTTATCTTAATAAAGCTACACATTCCCAAATGTTCAACAACTTGCTGAAGGAATGAATGAAGTGTGCAATGCTCTTAGGTAATCAATACATTTATTTATTCAAACTGTACAAAATTACTTCTCTCACTATTTTTATTTATCAGGTTACAGCATATTGTTGTATTTGGTGAAGGAGCTGGAGCTAATATACTAGTTAGACTAGTGGTATGTGTACAATTCCTTTTTTTTATTTTTTTTCTAAAATTAATCCTTACATTACTCCATTTGTGATTTATTCTTCGATCTATTCATCACTGTACTTACTGACATTTTGAAGCGGTTGTGTTCTCTGAACTGGATAGTTAATTTGCGAAGCTTTCATCGCCCTACTAGGCGACATCTTCACCGCATGCTTCACTTTGAAGTGAGCTTTTAGATTTCTCCACGAGTTTATTAATCATCTCTCCTGGTGACCTGGTGACAACCAGTCACGTCCAAGCTTCGCAAATTAACTATCCAGCTCAGAGAACACAACCACCTCAAAATCATCCGCATGAGCTACAAATCTTCTCTATCATATCTAAAACTTACTGACATTCTTCTACATTGTCTTTATTTTAGATGTTAAGGCAAGATTTAATACTAGGTGCAGTTTTAATTCATTGCACAGGGACTAGCGCAGGTCTGTCTGAAAGTCTTCGTGATCGAGTAAGTATAAAGATATTTAAGCTTTTTTATATTGTGATAAATTTGTAATCAATACTGAAAGTTGTTTATATATATATATATATATTTCTCATAAGTTATTGTTGTTATTCATTATCATAACCGGAATAAGGAACAAAGGTTTTTAAGATATATGCGGCAAACTAACCACCAACTGGTTTTCGCGCACATTAGTTAACAAACTTCAAGGCTAGACAGTTAAATCATAGGTTTGATCATGAGTTGAAATCAGTCAGAGAACCATTGGAAAACGATTAAGAAGTACTGGATAGCTGTTTCGGCTTAGTTTTGGACTGCTCATCAGTAAGCGCTCACTAGGGTTCGTAATCATGACCTATCGATTACAAAGCGAGCTCCCGATCCAATAGCCAGCCCATAAATATCAACTTCTGCCACTTCGCAACATATACAGCATAACTGCTAGCCAATGTTATCGACGAGTAACTGTTCTTTTACCTGACTTGGTAGAATACGCTGGTCACGACTTCTTACTAGAACTTCAGGTAATTTCCTGTGTAGATCAAGTTACTAATGAGCATCAGATTAATTACCAATTGCAGATGTAAAGGGATTTCATAGGTTACAGGTGTGACCATGTGCTGATATTGTGTCCCAGTGGTTGAGTGGTCTACGAGCTCTCCTTGTAATCGGGAGTCCTGGGTTCGAATCCCAGTGGGTGCATACTAGTGAAGAATATCAAGCTAAGATGAAACAAGTAAAGAGTATCTACTGTAGTGCGGATAGCTTCGTGGCTAAGTCTTTAACTTCAGCACTTCGTAATATATCTTTGATTCATGATGTAAAAATAACAATTTTTATGCGTTACAGAAACGGCTTGTTAATCTCTCTCTCGCTCTATATATATATATATATATATATATATATCGAATGTAAAGTTAGAGTTACTATACGGACCAGAGACTTGTGGAGTCACGTAGGGCACTTCGAACGAACTACAGACTTTCATCAGCAGCTGTCTTCCCTCAATACTACTCAAGATCAGATGGCCGGCGAACCAATCAGGAACCCATTGTGCAACAAATATGCAGGAAGAAATGTAGGTGGATTGGTCATACTCCGAGAAAACCATCAAGTGACATCACAAGACAAGCCATCGCTCGAGTGGAACCCGAGTAGGAAGCAGCTAGTCGGTCGTCCAAGGGTGACATGGAGTAGGTCATATGAAGAGAAGATGAAAGCATGTGGGCAGACGTGGAGCCAGATGGAAGCGTTGACAGAGAACTGAACGCAATGGAGACGTGAGTCTTAAGCCTTATGTTCCTCTAGGAATTAGAGGAAACAATAGTAATAATACGTATATACTCCTGTGTCGAACCTCTTGAATTGAACTCTCTTCACTTTGACTTTTGACTTCGAAATTCATTATCAGTAGTCGTACCGATGCCCAAGCTAACATCATGCTTCATGTATTATAACGATGGAGATGAATACGATTAAAAATTGGAAGTGAAGTAAAAAGTGTTTTGTTTAATGACTGAATTATCGAAGGTTTCACACCAACATTAACGTACTGGCTTACGGAAGAATTCCGCGCCCAAACAGCTAGCGTGCACGCAGTTTATTAGGGTACTTTAGAGTCTATAAAAAGAAGGCAAGTGCACCGCACTACGGTCGGCCCCTCCTTCTATCGGTTACGAAGCAGTCGGTGAGGAAACTTAAAGTGTTTTTGCTTTCACCACAAGTAACTTCGTATTAATGCTCATAGAGCTAATGCTGAGAATAGACAAAAATTGTTAAACAGTATCTTTGAATGACATTGTGAACCTTAATTGACTAAGGTTTTGTGAATCTACATGCACTCCTTCCTCTCCTGAAACATTAATGTTTCCTTATGTAAGATTGGAATGAAGAAAGAAAACAAAATGTTAAACTGACTACATCATAGCGTACTAAGTATCCATAAATTCCATAGCTTCTGATGTAAGACATGTAAGCTCACGTCAGTCTCCTTACTGACTGTTAGTAGGTAGTGATGTTTCCAAACAATTTGTCAACAATTAGACTAATTTTCATACTGTCTTATGGGACACACACACTTGATTGCTCCATCGATCTGCTGTATCGTTTCTTCAAGTGTGCTAAACTAATATGATGCTATTTTATACACTATTCTACTATTATTATTTTGTGTTTTTCTATAAAAACCCAGTGACCAGTGGGGTACAGCAGATAGGGTATGAGGACAAATACTCGCCATCGATGACACTTGCTAGTAGTCACGCTGTATCATAACTTGATGAAAGTTAGAATTCATGAGCGATTGAATCAGGTCCTGATGGCTAAATGGCTATACCAGGTTGCCTTGGAACCGGAAGGTCTTTGGTTCAAATCCTGACGGGTGTGTACTTCTGAAGAGCCCCAAACTAGGACGAAACAGCCGTGCAGTACTGCTTGGTGGTTTTCCAATGGTTCTCTAGCCAATGTAAACTGATGATAAAATTCTGTAACCAAAAAAAAAGAATACGTGTTAAAGCAAATAAAAAGTGTGCCGCTTATCTTTCAAGTGGCAGGGTTAAATTTGGTTGGAACTTTTGATTTAACTGAATCATTGATGTATAATGCTCAAGAAATAGGCTAAATTCACTATCATTACTGAGCAGGTATACATCAATGGAAGGTGTGAATAAATAGATATGAAGAGATTCACTCATCTATCATAAAATTCGGTAAATATCGAGGAATATACACAGGTTATTTAATTTCGATAAATGGGATAGAAAACCAAGGAAGGATATCCAATCCTTTGTAAACATATACACATATATCTCTTGAAACAATTTGTTATTATTATTATTTTGACGTATATGCCACAGATTATATATATGTATGTATATATGTATAAACCTCAAGTTGAAGAGTTCTGTTCACCGCAAAATTATAAACTAAGAAAACACTAGAGTATCATAAAATGTAGCATTGTCATGCAACATATTTTCAAAGGAGTATTATACGCCAGCGTAAAATACAAAAAGAAGAAAAAGAAGAAGAGAAGAAGTAGGATAACAACTAGAAGCAGTGTTATGTTTACTTCTGACAAACAATATCTTAAATGGTTACTTATTTTTGATACAAAAATTAATTAATTATACTAACTCTTATAATCATTATGCATATTGTATAATTGAAAAGTGCGGGCAAACGAAGTAGGATGAGGATAGGATAGGATATTCGATATGCATAAAATAAAGCAACTGCTATGTATCCTTTATCATTCTCTTCTTCTACCCTTCTAAAATATATATATGTTATGATCAAAAAGACAGTGAGAAAAGTGAAAAAATAAACTGACTGACTTACTAACTAACTAACTGTTTCGGGAGTGTTTCCCTTCTTTTTGTTTGTTAATACTGTGTTGTTCTTGCTAATGTTGTTTATCTCAAAGATGTTATTTGGGCAGATGTGTAAAATGGGGTGGAAGTGTTTGTTTGTCTGCTTTTAACTGTAAGCAGAAAAGATTAAGATGGCATCACGAGGTGTTTTGTTGAAAACCTTTAACTATATGAGCAACCTAACTCCTGTACATATATATACGTGTATATATAATTCACTTTCTGCTTATGTATTCTACAGCTTAACTTTTGTAAACGAGTAAAATTCTTTGTGAATATTCATCAAAAGAATCAATAAGTGTATAATTTAATATATTTGAATTTCTTCAAAATGAAAAAGATGAAAAAAAATGTAATATACTACTATGTCACTGAAGTATAAATGTAATTTATAGTTGTTCAAAAAAATTATATGTGTATATATCTTTTGTTTGCTTAATCTTATAGTTGCTTGGTTGGAAGTTGAACACAGTTGGAATGAATCCAGCAGCAGAATCCTATTTATTAATGCATCGATTTGGATCAGTAAGTTTTATGACTATTAACAAAAAATGTTTCAATTAAATGTTGTTGTTCTTTTTTAAAAATATTTTAATATTATTATTATTTTTTTCATTATATTCTTTTGTGTTCTAAGTGGAATATAAGGATTCAGACTTTGAGCTTTGAAGTTACAGTAGCTTTGTGGGGTTTATTACTTTCTGCTGGGTCAGGGCTGTCAGTCTGATATCAGCCTTCCGTCTTCACTGAGCTTAGGATGGGTACTAGGGGAGGTTTAGGAGGGCGTCAGCCAGAGAATGAACCCCGGACCATAAATATTCCACCAATGAACCACCGGCAATCACATCAGGCTGAAAAGACTCCGGTTCTCATCACATTAAATAAAAGGTACTTATAAATGTATATTAGTTGAAGGATTTCATCATGAGGTAACATAATTTAGAGAACCATTGGAAGACCGGCGAGTATTGGACACTTGTTTTTGTCCTGTTTTGAGACTCTTCATCGGTACGCACCCAGATTTTCCAATGGTTCTCTAACTGATGTCAGCCACATGATGAAATCCTCTAACCAATCAAACTAAATCCTATAAAACCAATATTTGAAAATGTATATTTATATTTAATTTTTTTTTTTTTTCCTTCACATTCCTCAGTGGAACATAGGGGGCTACAAGCTACAGGCTTGAAGTTTCTGTAGCAGTGTTTATTTTTACAGGATGGGGTTGCTAGCCTCATTCCCAATCTTTCCTCTTTATCAGCATAATTTCTGGCTTAGCGAGGTAAATGAGTGCGCCGGCCGGGTATCGAACCACGCACCATGTTCATGGTCAGCGACCGTTCTAACCACTGTGCCAATGACACACGAAATGTACAATACTATTATATTATCCTCTGAGTGAGAACAAATAACCCCAGAAGATATTAATTCACTCCAAATGTTGCAAATCAGTTTCATTTAAACTAAATTTTCAGAAGTTGTGTTGCACCGGAAAATGATTTGATTTAAAGTAGATAAAAAAGTGGAACACCCGCTAGCCAAGTGGGGGATTCGCATCAGATTCCCTGATGACTTATGCATAAACCTCGTCTATTTTAACAGATGATAGTAAGCGCAGGAACGATAGACGTGTTGGATTTGAGGGTAACAACACCTCCGCCACTGAGACTTCGAAGCTTGAAGTCCTATGTTCCATGTGGAATACGAAGAATGAAAAAAGAACTAAACTTGAACTCAGGAAAATAGTTTTATCCAAAGTCTCACGAACTCCTACATTCAAATAAGAAGGTACCAAGGTTGACTAACATCCGAATTTCAATAATATTTGGGATTCAAACGTAAAGTGAATAGTTGGATTAGGATGCTGATTTAGTAATAAAAGCCAGCTTCGACTGATCGTTAATAATGAACCACACTACAGTTCACCAAAAAAGACACAGAGTTTGTTACATAGAGAATTTCCAAAAGCTAACTTCCTAATGAAGTCAACTTTGAAAGTATTATTCGGGAGGACAATGAAAGTTTTGCAATTAAACGAGCATATAGTCCCCAGAACACATGAAAACTGAAAAGTCTTCACCGGGACTTCGAATCTCCAAGATTTCAAAATCTAAAAACCATTTACTTCACTTGTATTTTCGTTCAAAGCAGTAATATCTTCAAATATAGTTGTAATAAAGTTTGTATTATTCTATTATTATTACTCCCTTGGGTTCCAGCTAAAAGTCATTGGGTTTCGATAGGAGATCTCCGGTTTATCCTGATCTCTGCATTTCTATTTATCTGCCTGCACGATTGTCCATAACCTAGCTTATCCTTCTTACACGATCTCTTCCATATCACTCCTCGGACCAATGCCCTACTTGCCGTTTTCTATTTGCCTGCCACTTGAGGGCCAACGTGGGGCTTATTGTCCCTCAACTGTCTCCTCAGCGTGTATCCGCTCCATCTTAACCTTTTACAGAATATTTTCGGGCAAAGATTTTTGACTGACTCATCCCCAGAGATTCATGTTGCCGATCCTTTCTGGCCATTTGATCTTCAGTAACCAGCAAAGGCAGATGTCGATAAAAGTCTATAGTGACCAGTTAGACGCTTCAAGTTTCTGAATCATAGATGGATTAATTTGAAATTAGTGTTCAAAATCCAGATTTCGTTCCTAATGCTGATTGTAACAGGTGTCTACAGTGACTTCAGAATAAAGAAGATCTGTTTCACCTTTCTAGTTCTGGCTTTGATATCCTCATGTCTGCCGAGTGTAGTTGAAAAAATGCTGCCTAATTGAATGGAAGGAGTGAGTGATACTGACTAATGCTTGTTATTGCTGTTTGCCTATCTTCATCAACTCTGTCTAATCTATATCTGACTGGAGTCGTATCTCTTCTGCCAACTTATTGGTATTCGCCCATAGGTCCTCCAGTTTGTGTAACATTAGACATTAGTCATTCGCGAAATTCAGATTTTCTAGGGTTTTATTATCGGTCTTTTTAAATCAAATAAGATCTACCTCATGAAGAGCTAGAAGTTATCGACTTATCAGTGTACACATACAAAACCTGGACATTACTATAATATGCAGTTCTATAATCATTCGTTTACCGGATATATCACACAGTGAGGTAATATTATTAAATTGGATGAAGTTCGCCACACAGTTTATTTTTTTTGTAATCATATTAAGTGTAATAAGGCAAGTAAGAAACTCGATTTTTCATAGTTCACTATCTTGCTTCCTATTTGTTATAAGGGTAGTAGAATTCTCAAAATGTCTAAAAAAGACGCTAAATCATTCCTGTTGCGTGTAGATTTGATAAATAAGGCTTCCATTATCAAACTCTACTGTACTTACAAACGCCTGACTGACTACCTGAATGTTTCATACTTACATGTTGTACTAAATGGATGTACTGGAAATGGATTATGCAATTTATCATAGTATAATCAGTTTCGTTATTATTTATGGTTTTTCTCTAAATATTTCCACACTTTACATTAGAGATTGATGTTGTCTAAACATCAATTATGAAGTAATGTCGATAACGGCGTTTAATTTATCATTGATAAATAAAAAAAAATGTTGAGGAGAAATGTCAGAAACAGACCATCCTGACTAACCTCAGTGATTGACTGTTTGAGAAATGGTGATAATTAGGTTTACGCCTTTACTCACTGCCTTTGGTTTTATTCACTTAGAATCTATAAGATATAGATAAATATCACAGAGCTATGCTCCTTCGGTATGCATTCCGAAGAATCAATATGTCCGAGGAATTTAAAGCAACCACAATGTGTAAAAATGGACTGAGTGTCAGCCTGAGATATATCTGATGATAGCCGACTAATCGATGAAGAGTGAGAACGAAACCCATTGTGTTCTTTGAGAACCATTTCATTGTGTGTTTGTTTTTAAACTCAACTGGCGAACGGCTATGATACTAATAATGAATTCATACAATATGTGTGTGTCTATTTAAAGACAGACACCTTGACTTTCTCATTTTTTTAAGTGGATTCACACATTTCACCTCTCATGATCTCCTGATCAGTTTAATATATTTTACTACTGGAGTGAATTCTGAGATATATATGAAACGCATAAATCTCCGAGTATGAATACCATCTGGTGTGATTTGACTGGTTTTGGCAGACTGAAGAATGAAGGAACTCGTCAGCCGAATAAAATCACATCCCAATATGTGGTGGTTCTCTAGCGTTGGTGGCACAGTGGTTAGGACTCACGCCGACCATTAACATGGTCCGAGGTTCGATCCCCTGCCGACGCACACCTGATATCTATGGTCGGCCTGCAAAATTTGGGCTACCGATATCACATGCTGAAAATTCCATACCTGTACCCAAAAATGAGGTGTGGAATCAAGCTGCAATTAAAAAAAAAATAGATCAATTGTCATAAATGCCTTTTCTGCATTTCTGCGCAGTCTGATGGTGTACGCTTACAAAGACGGAATGAGGTTTCAATACAAAAAGTATGTTAGATGTCTGAAAACATTGAAAAAACAGTATAAGTTTTATACGTTTCGTCCATTCGTTCATTTCAGCTACAGCATATCATACAAAGACAATTTTAGTCTACAGACACAGCCTAGTAGTATCTGTTGGTATTCATCAGCAAAAATCACCGTATATAACACTGAGAAAACTGACACTCACCCCATGATTCTAATTCGTTAACTCATTTTTGACAGCAATAGCTGTCCTCTCTTAAAGAGTATTTTTAAGCATAGCTATGCATCATTGTTGAACTAACGAGAAGACGCTAGAAGATCTGAACTTTGCAGATTACTTGTATAGCATCACACGAAATCAAAGATCTGCAGGCAAAAATCAAGACGTTGATAGAAGAATCAGAGAAAGGAATATAGAGAAGACAGAGGTGATAGAGTTACCAAACAAATGATATAAAGAATCAGTCATCGTCAATCAGCGAAATACAAAGGAGGTTACCTCTTTTACCTAACTAAACAATATCGTCTCAGCTACAGAGTTCTCAGGTTGGGATGTCAAAGACAGAATAGAAAAGACAAACTCGGTGTGCATTACTCCAAAATCGCTGTGGAAATATGCTGCAGTCAGTGTGATGGACAAGATTTGGATTGTGAACACTAATATCCAATCAGTGCTTTCATATAATTCAAAGACTTGCCAAGTTCTTTAAGAAAGTCATTTCCAACAGGCTATTGCCTTCCCCCAATATTGAAGATGAGATGCTTGGTCGGAAACAATTAGCAACCCTGGCAACGTAGTGAACCAACGAAGAATCTATTACCAAGCAAATATGCAGAATGAAGTGGTGATGAATTGGACGAGTACTAAAGAGACCGTTGATTGAAATCACATGCCACGTTGACCTTTGAGTAAAAGGCAGTTGATAAACGACAATTTGAGCATCTGTTCGACGGGCAACATGGAGGAGATAGTGTGAAAAGGAGATGAAAGCATATAAGCAATCGTGATGCCAGTTTTAAACAACTGCCTATAACAGAGTGAATTATTGCTGTGTTGCT